AGCCCGACGCGGGGCTCGAACTCACAGACCGCGAGATCATGACCTGAGCTGAAGTCGGACGCTCAATCGACTGAGCCACCCAGGCACCCCTACGTCTGCTTGAAAGTTTAGAATAAAAAGTTGAGGAAACATTACAGCCCAGAAAGCCTTGGGAAACGGAACTGCCATACCCCTCTGCCTAGAGCTCAACTCCAAAGAAAATACAACCAGCAGACAAATCTAGAGAGTCACGGAGTCCGTGCCAAATAGTCACCAATCTGTAACGTGTGCAGTGTCCCGAGACAGGAGCTGACTGCCCAAGGAAACTGTTCTAAAGGATTAAAAAAAAAAACCAACCCCAGGAAGAGAAAAGTACTCAAACTCAGACTTAACTCATACTCCCTAGGCAAGTGTATTAATTTTACACTCAGGGCATTTCATTTTCTTTGAGCGCTGAGGAGAAAAGGAAGGCCGCAGGCCCAGCAAGAAGGGTCCCCGCTTCCTCTCCGGAACAAATCCCGTCACTTCCGTGACTGGGCCCTGGGATACTGAGGGCAAACCCATCCTAGGGCCTGGGGAATTCTGTATTGCTAGACACAGACAGAAGCAAGACAAACAGCGTAACGCCAGTTGCCACGGGCACAGAGATGGAAAGAAGTCCTTCCAAATATTCAAGAGGACGGACGCTGGGGCGGACTGAACGGGACAAGTCTTGTGAGTCAGAAGAACTACATGTCCACCCTCTCAGGCTCTCCTCGCTGACTTCGCAACACAAGGCAGGCAGCGCCTCGCAGAGAGCTGTCTCTGATACTCAAGATGGCACAAAAGCACGGGGGGAACCGTCTTTCGGTCTTTTAAATCAGAGTTGTTTCCTTCACCCTCAGTGATCTCCGTCCCAGGGGCAGCATCATTTAGTTTCTGATCCTCAAGAGGCTTTAGCATCCTAGGAATGTGAAGGGGGGGAGAAAAGAGAAAGCTTTGTCCAGCTGATGCTTTAATTCTGGCTGGATCTAAAGCCATTTGCCCCAGCCCTCAACTCGAATGCTGTTTTCAGTCTCAGACAGATAGAAGGAGCCGGTCCAGACTCAACCCACCTCTAGGGTCTTCGTTCTTAAGTAGCTATCTGGTGAACTTGACCTGGCACGGTATGGATGCGTTTACGTATCGATGATAACGAAGGGAGGGACAGTAAAAGATTTTAGAGGCAGGACCGTTCTGGAACAACAGCAGATTGAAATAACACTCTGGAAAGAAATCTGTGACCCCCAGGTTTTTATAAGACTAACAGATGGGGTGCTTAGTGTTTCCTGGTGGGCCGAGATAGTTCTCAGCAATCCAGATGTCTGGAAATGGGAACTGGTACCTCCACTTGCTTTCTCGAAGGCATCTGCGAGAGGTGGGGTCAGTTGTCTTTAAACTGAACACCTTTCGCCCACTAAGCAAAGCTGGTCACCTATGCAGAAGAGAGCTTGTTGGGGGGTTAGAAGATGTTTTCACTGGAGTACTAGGCAAGCAGCATGAACACACGGGTCCTGAACGGGCACTTTTATGTTTTACAGAAGGCAGATTCAGAGCGTCCTCTCAGAGGCTATACCAACAACTGAATTAGTCCGTCATGGGCACTAGAGGATCTGCGGAGTTGGGACTGAAGTCTCATCTGCCCTGGGGACAAATCCCCCTCCAAGCTAGGGGAGCATGACTGAGAAGGCTAAGAGAGTCAGAGAAGCCTTGGAAATGTGTGGAAATGTATTTCCCACGGGCCACTGAGAAGACCACATCTGAAAAACAGTCATTCCAAGGGACACAACAGCCTTCTGTGGGTGGGATCTCGGCTCGCCGCTGCCACCTTATTTTCAAGCCTATTTTATAGCACAGGTCACCAAAGAATTGCTGTTTCCTGGAAAAGGACCCGATTTCTTTCCTGTGTGGCAACCTTAGAGTAGCAAAGAACACAGAAGTGGCGTGGGATTCGGGACAAAATCAGGTCCTGTCTTCTTGTGCCGTGTTTTCAAAAGTTTAATCTGTATGCCCGGTAGAAACATACATTCCGGTGTAGCAACAATGATCCCATCGTTAGGAACCCCCGCCTGTGCGGAGATCATCCCTCTTGCTCTCTGCTCCCACCACGTCCACACTGAGCTGTCTGATCAGGAACAGGGTGGAGAAGGACATCTCTGGTGGACTTGGGGGTCCCTGGCTTCTAGAACACAGCAGGTGACGATTGGTGCTGGATCTATCTCAGATTCCGACTCACTGGTTGGGACAAGTCTGGAGAAGGGACTCTTTGGAGGCAGTGCCCGGGGCTGGCGGGGAGGCCTGTGGGGGGGGCGGGTGCGGAGGGGAGAGACCCATGGCTCCACCCATGCCTAAGTCTTGATCAGTCAGGAAGGGATCCTATCCAGTAGCATCTCAGTGACATTATGATCATCAAAATGCCTCCGTTTCACATCACATCACATCACATGGGTTTACAGTGACTAACTCTGGGACCGAAGGGGCTCAGCCACTCCTCAGAGCTGTTTAATTTAACTCCTGATCGTCTTAGGTACGTCGATCTGTTGTGAGGAAAAACGAAACTTAACACGTGCTACCGGGGTGGAAAAGTCAGCGCCAAAGGATGGTTATCTATCGGTCAGGGAAAGATAGATACGCAACTTTGCACAGAAGCTGGCCTCAGACGCCTCTCTCCAAACCTAGTCTGGTTTCCCTGAAACGGTACTTACTTTTAGAATATCATCCAAATGCTTGACTTCTTGGTTCAGATCCTGAAACTCCTTATACTGCTCCTTGTGGGGCTCCAGCGCGAGGAAAAGCCCGCTGAAGGCGTCCTCCAAGCTTCCGTCCAGGAAGGATCGACAGCCTTCGGATTCTCCGCTGACCGAGCCCTCGGAGAGCAGCCTGTCCGCGGCCGCGGGCGCCTCGGCCGAGGTCAGCCTCTTCACCAGCTGCTTCGTGAGGTTTCCTTCAAAAGTGTCCAGTTCGACCGGCTTGAGCTCGGACGCCTCGTCGGACTCCCGCAGGAGCGCCTCGGCCACCTCCTTCTCCAGGAACAGGCGCTCCGGCCCAGCACCTGCCGCCGCTCGGCGCTCTGGGGGGCTCCTGGGCCCGGCTGGGGGCTCCTCCCGGGGCGGCTTGGCCTCCCGGCCCTCTCGCGAGGAGTTTCTGGAAGATGCCGAGCCGGAGTCTTCCGTGCCCTCGTTGTGGGAGGACGGGCTGCTGGGGCTCAGCTCTGCGGGGGTGATGGTGATTTCGGGGTTTGCCGCACCTGCGCTGGAGAGAGAGCCCGCTGGGTCCGGGGTGAGGGCGCAGTCCTCGTTGGGCAGGTCACCGAAGCTGAGAGACAGTGGCGTTTTCTCCTCAGCGGCCTTGCCATTTTCAAAGACGTCATCGGGTAGATTAGACTGTGGATAAAAGGCGTCTCGTTATTATTTTAAAAATTTTTAATGTTTATTTATTT